CTTTTATCCCACTGGGAGATAAGACGATCTATCACATCCTTGAAAAAGCTTGTGGGCTCTCTACGGAACCACATCTTTACCCAGCTACACACATCTTCGTCCGATACAAACCGATGTCCACAAATGTCTCTCTTCAGGTCTCCAAAGATGTGAAAATCACATGAGAGATCTGGGCTGTAGGGGGGATGTTGAAGCACTTCCCAACCAAATCTCTGTAGTGTATTCCTCACAGAGTTGGCAGTGTGGGGTGCGCATTATCATGAAGAAGGATAATGCCGTTCGATAGCATTCCATGGCGTTTTGACTTTAGGGCACATCTCAGTTTCTGCAAAATGTCTTCATAGCGCCATGCACTGATTGTGGTCCCATGCTTGAGAAATTTGACAAGCAGAGGGCCCTGGCAGTAGAAGAAGAACGTCATCATCACTTTACTGGAACTTGTGTGTACAGCTTTGGATTTCTTTGGTGGGGGAGAAGTCACGTGCTTCCACTGTTGGCTCTGTCATTTGCTCTTGGGTTCAAAATAGTGGCACCAAGTTTCGTCCCCAGTGGCAATACGGGACAGAAAAGCTTACTCTTCCTCATGGTATCGTTGCAAGTGACCCAGTGATGCAGCCATTCTCTGAGTCTTCTGTTCCTCCATGAGTTGTTGTGGAACCCACTGCATGCAGATTTTGCAGTACAGCAGGTGTTTTGTCACAAGGGCATGTACGGAACCATGACTTATTCCACAGTGATCCGTCGGTTTGCCCAGATATGACCATCCAATGCAGCAATAATATCAGGAGTGACGACACGATGAGCCTGTCCTGGGTGAGTATCATCTTGCAGTGACATACGTCCCTCTCGGAATCTCTTATGCCACACCAACACACGCGAACATGACATGCTGTGTTCACCGTAAACAACAGACATGCGTGATGAATTTCTCTTCCTCCTACTCCTTCAGCAGTCAAAAAGCGCACTACACTTCGCTGTTATTCTTTACCAGTCTCCATTACTGATGTTGGACGACCACACGTAGCGCTAACCTTATTTCCAGCACAATAACAAACGACTAGTGTGCAAGGGCACGTTGTCACTGTGCTTTCCTGAATCCCCACCAGATGTTCGTACCGTAAGCAAATTCCAGTGTTACGAACATGCATGCCATGTGAGTTATGCATGGTGACCCATTTTCACTTGACTGCCCCTTATATAACATGTTATAAGAAAGTGATGGCCATTTATAAATCTGAAATATTTACTTATACAATAACTCTACATGAATTAAATTCTAAAAGTTTGAGTTGGTAATATAATAATCTACAGAAGAGATTAATTTGACATATGTTTTCTAATACTCACAACTAATATGGCTGCAGATTCTGGTGATATTCCATATTTGTTTGTTAACTTTGCCCTCGTTTCACTTGGCAATTCTGGCAATTTTCTTCTAAGGCACTGAACATTTATATGATCTCTGTAAGTGTTTGGTACAGCTGGTTGGTCATTCAGCAGAACCCGCAGTGGTGGAAGATTTGGTTCTGGCATGTAACGGTAATCCTAGTTGATTCAAATACATATTCTCTTTATCTACTATGTAATAAAAAACTATATACCAGTAGTTAAAATTGACAAGATTAAATTATTTATATATATATAGGCCTATTTTTCCAAAGTTGTAACTATAGATTTCCATTACCACTACTATTACAATTACACAATTTATCCAGTTGTTTACTGTTTGAGTTATTAGATTATTATAGCTAGGGGTTCTGATTTCAAATATTTGAAAACAGTACAACTTCCATCACATGTGAATCACCAAGTCCGACATTTCTTTCTACTGCCAAACCAAGAGAATGTCTGAAGTGGTAATACTCACATACTGATACTCTATGTGGGAGTTTTAAGATAACCCATAGCTGCCTATCTGTCGCATGACAACCAGACTAACAGTACATTGGCAGGAAGGTTCAACCTTTACTTTGTGGGAACATCCCACATTATCACGCATTTCTGCAACGCTCGCTCTTCACATCACTTTTCACCATCACGCGCGCTAACCAATCAGATTGCTTCAAACGATCGCATTTATACTACGTAGACGCGGGCTAGCCAATCAATTCTTCCTCTCACTTTCGAGTTTGGCTCCGCCCCACCGACCAGCGTATAAAAAGGAGCGACTCCAGAGCCGAGATATTCAGTTCAGTTCAGTTCAGTTCATCATCAGTCTATGAGCTAGCCACATCGTTAAGAGAGCCCCACATTGGTGACCCCGACGTGATTGGAAGCGCGTGTGGTGAACATCAGTAACGACTCCTACGTTGGATCATCACGGCCCAGCATAGACACAGCATACTCTTCGCAAGCAGCAACATCACTTCTCGCAAGGGGGGGAGTGATGTGGGAACATCCCACATTATCACGCATTTCTGCAACGCTCGCTCTTCACATCACTTTTCACCATCACGCGCGCTAACCAATCAGATTGCTTCAAACGATCGCATTTATACTACGCTCGGCGCTAGCCCGCGTCTACACCATTACGCGCGCTAGCCAATCAATTCTTCCTCCTCACTTTCGAGTTTGGCTCCGCCCCACCGACCAGCGTATAAAAAGGAGTGACTCCAGAGCCGAGATATTCAGTTCAGTTCAGTTCAGTTCATCATCNTGTTACGGTCCGACCCACTGGGCTTCTGCCGTAGCCACTGCCTCATGGCTCCTACGACCGCGCTCAACGACTAGCCTTTTCACCAGCAGCAACCTCCGCCATTTGCCGCACGGCAATCAAGCAACCTCCAGCCACGGCCGCACTGCGGCCAGGCCACTCGCCTTTCACTAGCCTTTCTCCTTACCGGCGCGCGCCGCGCTACCTCACCGGTCAATCATCTCAGCAGCCACGGTCCTTTTCAGGGCCAACAAACTGTTCCGAAGAAGTGGGTTGTCATCGGAGTAATGACAAGACACTCACATCGACGACAAGAGAACCCCACAACTACAGCACCACCAACATCCAGCTCAGACGTTACATATTAACACAAAAAAAATAGGAGGCATTATAGACGGAACGCCCTTTGTATATAACAAATTTCTTACATCTCAAGAGATGCGGGCTTTCTTTATGTATGTATCTTATTCCTTATTCTCCTTCCATATGCTTGCGGTTCATTGCTTTGTACTCATGTGATTCTATCCGTCCTATATTACAATGCACATTTAAATTCCACAGCTTACTTTTTGTACTGTGTTATAATATCTTTTATATCAATTATAATACTCCAACATCCATGTATATGTGTATATATATATATATATATATATAGACTTGAAGGAAGAAATTAATGTTATTCAGGATAACACATGAGTGTATTCCTAGAACTGTTACCTGTTTCTCTTCCTTGTCTCGCATAGGAACAGTCTGCTTACTGTCAGCATCCCATGCACGTGTTTCATTAATAATTACTCCTCCTGCTTCAAGTACCTTAACTTGGCGGTGAATTTCATATTGGATGGCATGTCCTACTGCCCTTACACTTCCAATATTTTTCACTTCAGTCCGTACACCTAATGGTTCTCCTTCATGATGAACTGACACATTGGCATCCACTCTTAAAGCTCCCTCTAAAAGGAAATGCTATTGTTTTACAATGTTGGCAATTATAAAACAGTGACCTCTGAAGAATATTTGCTAAGTGCATGAATGTAAGACAGTCCTCGGCTATTAGATGAAAGAACAGAAGAAAGAGATCCTTGTCTTCTATATGGGTGTCTGTGATAAATACTGAAGTATATAAAATACCCGTAACTTTTATGTAACACATTTGGCCAACACTTAAGTTACAAAATGACTTTTCATACTATGGAAATAAAAGTGGAACAAGTGGCAATCATTTCATTTATCGAACATGTCAATGTTAACAAAATGTACAGGCATTATTACACTGTAACTTTACTACCTAATTATTATAAATATTGAGTAATTAACTGTACACATACACACATGTATACACAATTCTCTTGGACTTTTAATACATGTTTCATAATTTAATGGAGATTACTTGGACTGAATGAAACATTACATGAATTACTAAAAACATTCAAACACCATCTGAAGCACGTGAAAAAGTTTGAACCCACAGAGCATGTAAGAGACTACTACTATCATATTTCCAAAGTTACTATATAGAGTAAAAGCATCCTTTGATAATAATTTACATCATGTCACCCTATTTATTTCTTCTAGATCTATGGGTAACATATAAATGAGGTCCATATGTTCTGTACCTTTACTCCTAAAGATCCCACTATAACACGCTAAGAACATGTTTCCTTTTCTCTGGGTGTCATTCATGGTATCATGAGAAAGTGTCATGGAGTCCTCTATAGTTCCCTTTAGCATGCCTTATATTATGTACATTTCTGGAAAGTGAGTAATTATTTCTCGTCTTCTAAATGAATTTCTGAATGACAATTTCTCTTGTAACTGCCTGGAAACCAGCATTTGTTTTATAGCCATGTCCTTCATGCTGGGCTTGCCTCCTTACCTTCCATTTTACATGAGCATGTACCCAAACGTTGCAGAATGAGCATCAGCTCTTTAACCAAGGCTGCTGCCTCTTCTCCATCCTCAAGATCAGGTTCAAATACCAGCTCCATAAGCGGTATTCCTGCACGGTTCAGATCAACCAGACTCCTGTTTAAAGAACACTAATTTGTTTCATTATGTATTATAAAGATCTACCTTTGTTATTAAAACATATTTAATATCTTAAATCATCTGCTTTACTTGTCTTTTATATAACATACGTGGTGTGTTCAAAAAGTATCGAACCTTCTTTTTTCCCACATAAACCAATGAAATGCGGGAGGCTTCCTTCGGTGGAGATGTGGAGGGGACATTCATGCACAGTCGTGAATTTTTTCCCGCCCGCAGAAAGCGTCAGTCGCTGGCAGTCGGCCTATGAGTGAGCGCTCGTCGGATTCCAGTAAGGTGTAAAATGACGGAACAACATGAGCAGCGATATTGCATCAAATTTTGCCAAAAGCTTTGCGATACCCAAGTGGAAACCATTTGCAAGATTAAACAGGCTTTCGGGGACGATGCCATGAGCAACTCATGGATAAAGGAGTGGTACAACCGCTTCAAAGATGGCCGCACATCAGTGGACAGCGAACCGCGTTCAGGCAGACCCTCAACAAGCCGAAATGAAAATGTCATTGAGCAAGTGCGGACTTTGGTCATGGAGGACCATCGTATCACAGTCTGAGAACTTTCAAACAAGATAGGGGTAAGCACTGGATCGGTACATTCAATTTTGACCTAGGATTTGGGCATGAGGAGAGTGTCTGCGAAGTTTGTACAAAAACTGCTAACAATGGAGCAGAAGCAACGCCATCTGGAAATCACACAGGACATGCTGGACAATGCAAACAGTAACCCCAATTTTCTGAACACCATGATACCAGGCAATGAGTTGTGGGTTTCTGGTATGACCCGGAAACCAAGATGCAGTCGTCACAGTGGAAACATCCGACATCCCCGAGGCCAAAAAAAAGCACTTCAGGTCCACAGCAATGTCAAGGTCATGTTGGCCATTTTCTTCGACTCCTGTGGGGTTGTGCATCATGAGTATGCACCACAAGGCCAAACCATCACAAAGGAATACTACCAGGAGGTCCTTCGTTGCCTTCGTGATGCTGTGCGGTGCAAACGACCGGATCTGTGGGCAGCAAAAACTTGGCAGCTCCATCATGATAACACACCCGCCCATTCTGCACATCTGATTCAGACTTTCGTCGCCAAACACAACATCCCTGTGGTTCGTCAGGCTCCCTACTCCCCCGACATGGCTCCTTATGACTTTTGGCTATTTCCCAAGCTGAAAATGCCGCTGAAAGGAACCCGATTTGAGTCAATACAAGACATCATTTGTAATGCGACTGCATGGCTGATCACCATTCCAAAAGACGCGTTCCAGAAGTGTTTCCAACAATGGCAGAAGCGCTGGGAGAAGTGTGTGCATTACCAAGGAGACTACTATGAAGGGGATTAGGGTTTTGTACCTCCAAATCAATAAATGTATTTCTGCCGACCAAAGGTTCGATATTTTTTGAACACACCATGTATATTAAACTACACATCCTCCTACACTGTAAGTTTGTGCACACAGACACATACCTAGCCTGCACAATTATTTTCATTGTTTTTCTAACTTCCATGCTCAAATGCTTATGCCCATAGCTGTAGCATTAAGCTGGGCAAAAGCAAACACACTATTATATGCTTCAAAGGATTTATACAAGTCCAAATAATCATAATTAATATGTAAGCCAGTATAAATATGTTACTCATTGATAAGCCTAATTTAACCACAATAAGTGCAGTTAAGATATGTAATGTATCAATGTGTTATTCATAACATTCCAAACAATGAATGTTAGCCATGCTATCTATTATCACACACTGCGGTTAGTGCTCATGTGTAAGACTGGCAACTGACATATAATGTGGCTTTGCAGCGAACTACCAGTAAGCATTATCTCACTGTTACATTTTTCTTATATATAAAGGGATATAAACAAAGCAGTAAAACAGAAGAAATGCAGGTGAGGGGTTACTTATTTTTTAATACATTGAATACAATGTAAGAGATACAGATTGAGTCTCTGAGTAAACAATTTTAGTATCATTTAGATCACTGAGAAAAACCATATAGCAAGAAATAGTGAACAATTTTTACTGTTCACAGGAAGCAGAGGAATAAAAAATATTGTAAGTTGTGGACAGGTAAGGCTGTAAGTATAAAATGGGTACATGTGTATACTTAAAAGTAACTTTCACTTCAACAGGTTAAAGTACGCCCATATTCTGTACTTAGCAAACTCAGCTTCAATATGTAACATTAATATCAGGTATATGCCTTTAATCTTCACAAATAAGGGGGGCTGGAGACTTTGGTTTATGACTTTTGTAACTATTGTCTGTAAGTTTTTAGAAATGTTGTTTCACATACATATAACATGATTGTTTTAGAATATATTTACATTATCTTTCAGATAAGTCGAGGTTTGGCCTACAATTTTCCACCGCTGCTACTTGAACTGGCTAACTGCACATATTAGGTGTTCAAGGAAGAATGTTATTTATTGAATGGTGTGATAAATACATGCAATAAATTGTCAAGTACAGATAATATTGTTTACCCTGTGGGTATCCATGTTTGCATGTCTTCAAGACAATGCCTATTACAAGAGTGCAACAAAAAGCACTGCATGTTCAAGAAATGCATACCAAAATTTAGTTGCAGAACTTAAAGGGTTGATACGAGTTGGGAGACCTACGCACATACAGAAGGATAATATTAAAATCAAACTGAAACAAGAAGGATGTGAGGATATGGCCTGGATGCATCTTGCTCAGGATAGGCTTCAAAGATGGTGTCTTGTAAACCAAGTAATGAATGCATCAATGAATTTATTGATTTTCTGTATATAAACATCCTGGAAATGACACCAGTGGGATATACACAGTCCTTATTAAAAGCAAGTATTTAAATACCAATTCAACACCATTATAAGAAAGTGATATTTGTTATATAATATTGGTTGACTATTATGATCCTGATTAGTTTTTGGAAACTCAGTGATTCTTCTCAGTTTCTGAGTAGGAAAGAAATAAGTGATACCTCCTGCACAGTCATCACTGATGGGTTAAGTTTATATTACAAACTATATGTGATATATGAGATTTGAAATTCTCATAGTAGTAAATATGAAAACGACTCTCTTCTAGGATGTGATACAGCATACAAGCCTCATACTGTGGCATCTAGGTAGCCTCTAAACTTCAGTTTTGTTTCAACAACATAGCTGATCATCCAAGGAGACTTCACTGCATTTAGCTGCCATTAGGACTTCAGAAGATACAGGGTGATTCACGAAGTTTTACCCCAGCTTATGGTACATATTCCTGGGGTTATTTCCTGCAAAATTTCCTTATAAACATGTGGTCGATTTTCAATAGTTATGGAGTAACAATGGATTTTCGAAATGCATCATTGTGAATGCACCGATATCCCCCCCCGACTAGGTGACCATGCGTTCCAGTCAGCTGTGTCAGCAGATAACGCAGACCGGCTGGAATGTTGCACGTAGGTAGGCAGAGCGTTCCAGTCGTAAATAGGACGTTGTGTTGGTGACTGTGAAGTTAAGATGCTGTACATATTTTCCACTGAGGAATACGCTGATATGGTGTTTGTTTTGAGTGTATGTGATGGAAATGCGAGAGCCGCTGCTGCCGAATATCACCGGCGTTATCCTAATCGCAAGATTCCGAATCCTAAATCCATTAGCAGTACATTCAACACATTAAGATAAACTGGTTCTCTCCCCAGCGTTCGTATACAATACGAACGAAATCCTCAACATGAATTGTGTGAAGAAGAAAACATTCTCTATGCTGTAGAGCGCAGTCTGCGTGCCAGTACAAGACGTCTAGCTCGGCGGTTCGGTGTTTCTCAGTCCATGGCGTGGGGGACTCTTCACGAGAACGGGATGCATCCTTATCATTTACAGCAAGTACAACACCTACAACCAGGAGACCGTTCTCTTCGTCTGCAGTTCTGCAATTGGTTAAATGGAAATCGGCAGTTGTACCGCTTGATAATGTTCTGCGATGAGGCACAGTTTACACGGGACGGGGTCAACAACAGTCACAACTTACATGTTTGGGCAGACAATAATCCCCGTGCCACGACAGAATCGAATTTTCAACACCAATTCAGTGTCAATGTCTGGTGTGGTGTTCTGTATGATCAGCTAATCGGGCCGTTCATTTTATTGCATTTGGGGCTGGTAAAGGTACCAGGTAAAGGTACAAACACGTGAAGCGTTACTTGAACGTATTCTGGACGCGGTGATGACAATAAGGAACAAACGTGTGGAACTGCTAAATGCTATGAGCGTGGTTCATACGCGTCCGATGCATTGTGTTAACGTGCAGGGAGAAATTTTTGAAAATCTTATGTAAATCCAGTTGTCTTCTAAAGCACTACAGTTTAAAGGAAACAGATTGATTGAAGAGTGTGATATGTAACCACTGGTAAGTTTACAGAATGGGATGCCGATAATTTTGTAACATAAAATCGATGAAAAATGTTGCACAATGCAAAATTAAGAAATTGAAAAAAAAAATGGTTTTAGAATGCTTCTTTCCTAAAACATTAACGATTTAAAAAGTGTTTGTATTGTATTTATAATTTGTTTTGACTGAAATTAGAAGAAAAAAAGATTTTTCGCCAGTTTTCAAATTACTGTATCTCTTTAATTATGAGTTGGATACCATTAGTATATTAACATTTTTTGTTCCAAATTACCTCAGGAATGCCCTCCCTAAGTGGGGGGTAAAACTTCGTGAATCACCCCGTACAGAGGGGAAGAGTCATTCACATACCTACAAGCCTCTTCATCATGAAGTGACTTGCCACTGTCCTGTTCCAACTGAAGCTGCTTGATACAAGATTTCTTACTATAAGGTTTATGATGGGAACCAGGAGTGAACACATGAAACTCTAATACTCCTTCTTGTGCCAAAGGAACTCTGTGCTGTGTGATTTGATAACCAGCCTACAAAACACACAATCTGTAAGAACAGTGGAAGGATTAAAATTGCTCCACCTGGCAGTGTTTGATTTTGAATTCTCTTCAGATTAAAAATATAGTTTTCAGCCTAATTTCTATATTTTATGAGCCTCTAAATTGTGTACTTTATCACACATGTGACCAGTGTGGGAGCAACAAATGTAAACCAGAAAATGATGTATATCACAAGTTAATGCACTGCAAGTCACAGGAAGAGGACAGAGCACTGGCAGTGCTGGGAAGTATTAGTAAAC